GAGATCCCTTAGGGCATGTAGATATGCCCCAAATACAACAAAAGACCCTGAGAGTCTACACTAACAGGGCACTAGCTATGTACTCTGTTCTTTAATTTGCAATTTTAGCCTAGACCTTTTGCTGAGAGTCTACTATGTGCAGAGTTCTAGATCCTAGCAATGAATATAGGCAGGAAAAGAGGGAAAGAGCAGATTGGAAAGAATGATAGGGACTTGGGGAGATGTCTCAGCTGATAAAGGGGCTGTCCTTTATCATGACCTGAGTTCAGATCCCAGCACCCATGTGCAAAATCCAGACACAGTTGCCTACACAAAATCCAGACACAGTTGCCTACCCTGGTACAGGGGAAAGAGATTCAGAGAGGAGAGATGGCAGATCCCTGGAGCTCACTGGCCATCCAGTCTAGTCAGCCAGTGAGCTTTGGGGTCAGTGAGAGACCCCAGCTCCTTTATCATGACCTGAGTTCAGATCCCAGCACCCATGTGCAAAATCCAGACACAGTTGCCTACACAAAATCCAGACACAGTTGCCTACCCTGGTACAGGGGAAAGAGATTCAGAGAGGAGAGATGGCAGATCCCTGGAGCTCACTGGCCATCCAGTCTAGTCAGCCAGTGAGCTTTGGGGTCAGTGAGAGACCCCAGCTCAAAGGGAAGGTGGGAAGCAATAGCAGAAGATGACCTCTTCCAGGCATTACTATTTATTATTAATATTTTTAATACTTGAAAAAGATCCTGACCTACCTTTCGGTCTGAGCTGAAATGAAAGTTGCTTTCTAGAGCCTGACTTTTCAGACTCTGGTTCTGTCCGCACCTCCTTTACCGGGGAGCTCAAGAGCAGTGAGATGACGTAGTCACATTCTTCCAAGGTTCTTTTAAGACACAGTCTTTCATTGCTTCTCATTCTGGGTAGTGAGGTGAAGTGAGAAGGAGCTGTTTCATGTCTGTCACACCTAGGAGTGAATTTGGCCTTTAGTATTTTCTAGCTGAGTATGAAGAAAGAAACTAGCATATTTTTTAACCTCTAGGAATGCTGGTTCTTAATCTGTAAAAAGGGTGTGACATAAATACTTGGCATGTGGACTGCTTATAAAGGCTACAGGAACACTGAGAAAACTAGAGGCATACCAACACCAAATGCTCTAGTCTTTGTTCTGACTTTCAGAGACTGAGTTGCCACCTGAATTAGATGAAAGTGTGCTTGGATGTACAGCCTCCTTGAGTTCCATTTGCCCTTAGGTAGACAACTATGTGAGCGCCCGCACAGGGAATTTCCACTCTCAGATTGGTCTGTGGCATGTCTTTGAGGCATTTTCTTGATTGTTGAGTGATGCCCAGACCACTGTGGGTGGTTCCACCCCGGGAAAGTGATCCTGAGTTGCATAAGAAGTAGGCTAAGCACAGGCCAGAGGAGGAACAAGCCAGTTAGTACTGTTCTTCTGTGGTCTGTGCTTCAGTTCCTGCCTCCAGGTTCCTGGCTTGAATTCCTGCCTGACTTCCCCAAGAGGTATGCTGTCAGTTGGGAGAGTAAGATGAAACAAATCCTTTTCTCCTTATGTTTTAGGCAGTATTTCATCACAGCAACAGAAAGAAAACTAGGACAGCTTGCTATTGGATAAAGACATGGGGGCACTAAGCCTTCCTGGTGCAGCTGGGCATGGGTAGCTTACCACAAGGGCAGTGTTGGTGGAATGAGATGCACAGAACAGTATCAGGGCTGAGGCCACAGGCTGTCAGGGAGGGGATCTGGCCGTGCTCTAGGTTGCCTGGCTGTGATATTATTCTGATCTCAGAACCTTTCCCATGTTGCGAATGTTACCAGCTCCTAGCCTAGTCCTGATTTATTTTAGAACTAATCCATTAGAGAACAACAAGGTGTTTAACTGCCAATGTAAATATGGAAGGAACACAATGTAAATGCCTTCAGCCATGTGTTTCTGAGAACAATTTGGTTAGGATTTGTATCGTTGAAATGAAGAGACTAATCATTATCTGGAAAAAGAGTAGAGTATATCACCTCGTGTCAATTCCTAGAATCTGAAAATAGGATCAACCACTCCAAATAGATAAATAAAAGCCAAAAAGCAACTAGCTGATGATTCAGGGGAAAAGGTCCCAAAGAGTTGAGTACGTGAAAAGGAGCGCTCAGCTTATAGTAGGCAAGGTGCTGTACAGCATGAAACAAGTTCTTAGATCCCTCAAATTGGAAAACAATAGAAGTCTAGTAAGAATACAGGAAATGGAGCAGGCATGTATTGTGGGAAAGAGAGGAACATGGAGAACACTCTCAAGATTGAGTTGAGTTGAAGACACACCTGCTCTTGGACCCAGCAATTCTGTTTCTTGGGATGTACCTCAAGGCATTTCTCACATTAACGAAAAGGTACACAGAGATGGTGAAGAATGATTGCTTTAGCATAGTTTATAACAGAGAAAACTTGGAAGCAATGTGCATGGCGGGCAACTGGGGAACAGATGAGCTGGTGTAATCATTTTATGCAATCAGTGTGGGAGTTAGACTGAAGAGCCTTCGTTGAGATGCACCTTAGGAATACATCTCAAATGGAATTTTCAATGAAAAGGCAAGTCTTATGCTAAGCACAAAGGTACACATCTGTGGTCTTAGCTACTTAGGAATCTGAAGAAGATGACTTGAGTTTGAGACCAGCCTGGGCCAGACATTGAGAACTTGTATGGAAAAAGAGCAACTCTTGGAAAGTTATGTAGAATATGGTACCTTTTATATGCGTAAAAACACAATATATTGTTGTGATTTCATAAAGAAGTAGTAATTTATAAATAAAAACAAAGAAAGAGTACATACCAATGTCAGGATGATGGCTAGAAGGGAGAGAAAAATCAAATCAAGGTAGTTCTCAGTTCTTAGTTTACGATTTCCAAACTTTTGATGGTGTGAAAGCATACTTACACATACTTACTTCTGACTTTTGCTCTAAGGACAATATTTAAATAAACTGCATGACTATAGCACTTAATTATAGAGTAAGGTTTATGTTAGACAAATCTACCCAATTGTAGATGAATGAATGAAAAGTATTCTGAGCATGTTTAAAGTATGCTGTGCTCATCCATGATGTTCAGTAAATTAGATCATTAAATTTATTTTTAAATTTCCGGGGGCGGGGGAGCTGTAGAGATGGCTCAGTGGTTAAGAGCACTGACTGCTCTTGCAAAGGACCCAAGTTCGATTTCTAGTACTCACATTGTGGCTAACAACCATCTGTAACTCCAGTTCCAGGGGACTCTAACACCCTCTTCTGACCTCCATGGGCATTGCATGACACAAGTACATACATGCAAGCAATACACTCATACTCATAAAATAAAAATAATAAAAAATGTAAATTGGCATATAAAGTAACAGGTTTCTCTATGGCATTTTCAGACATACTTAGTTTTGACTGTTTCTCTCACACACACCCCTCCCCTGTCCCCCAGCCCCCAACCCCACTATACCGTTCTACCTCCAGGATTCCCCCTTCCACGTTTACATCACACGTGTTTTCTTATCCTCCCTACACTCATTCCCTTAAAGCCTCTTTTTCTCATCTCATGGGTGTCTTTTCAATTTTCTAGTACTCACATTGTGGCTAACAACCATCTGTAACTCCAGTTCCAGGGGACTCTAACACCCTCTTCTGACCTCCATGGGCATTGCATGACACAAGTACATACATGCAAGCAATACACTCATACTCATAAAATAAAAATAATAAAAAAGAAAATAATTTTTAAAAAAACAAAACAATATATATCCATATGTATCAGGTCACAAGGCATAAGGCATCATAAGGTATGATGCCTCTATATTCATGAATTCTGGAGGTTACATGTGAAACTGTTAACCACAGCCACAACCCACAGAGGCACAGTGGATCCTGAAGAAGGGAAAGAAAGGGACGGGAAGAGCAGAGGAGAGGAGAGAGAAGTGACCCAGATTTCTCCTCATAATGAAGCCAGAAGGAGAGAAAAAGAAGCCCATGACCAGTGATGTCCCTGGTGCAGAGTGGCTTGGGCTGATATACACCCCACATTCCTTCAGCCACTTGGGGTTTTGTTTTATTCCTGTGGTTGGTGGGGCCTCTGATGGGCTCCTGCTACTGATCACTGACCATGCTCACCACCAAGGTTTTCAGGTGTCAATTCAACTAGTAAGTGAAACTTAGTATTCCCAGTGAGTCACTCACACCTTATCAATGAGTTTCTTTTTCTCCCTCCCTCCCTTCTTTCTCTTTTTTTTCTTTTTTAAAAAATTATTTATTATTTCTATGTGTACGTGTGTATTGCCTGCATGTAGGTAAGTGCACCCATGTCGTGCAATGCCAGCAGAGGACAGAAGAGGCTGTCAGATCCCCTGGAACTGGAGTTATGGATAATTGTTAGTGGCCATGTGCGTGCTGGGATTCGAAATCGGGTCTTCTTCAAGAACAGCCAGTGTTCTTAACTTCTGAGCCATCTCTCCAGCCCCTCTTTCTTTCTTTTTGAGACAGGGTTTCACTGTGTAGCTCTGGCTGGTCTAGAACTCACTATAAAGACTAGGGTTGCCTTGAATTTTTGGGGAATCCCCCTCTATTAGCCTTGAGAATGCTGGGACTGTGGGTGTGAACCACTAGGCCTGACTTTCAGTGAGATTCTTCTTAATGAGTATTAACTTGAGCTTTGATTTGTGGTCTGCTTACACTTTCCTAGTCTGAATCCAGGACCCTTAGATAAGTGAATTCCTAGAGTGAAACCTCCTTTGTCCTTGTTAGTTACTTTTTTGTTGCTGTGATAAACCATGACCAAGGCAACTTACAGAAGGAAGAGTTATTG